AGAGACTTACCTGAGTGGCAGTATTGGTGCGACCTTTGATCGGTGCTCCTCAACAACCTATAGACAAACAAAAACAATTGATTGTGCTTTGAGTGTGCGCAACTTGACGCAAACGTCCAGATTAAACAAACAAACGCAGATAATCTATCTTTATTTATGTTGGAACTAATTCATTCATTATTATTTCCTCGCGCGCGCCTCCACCACCCAGCTGACGTCGTGCGCGCGCTCCGTGACGCGTTATATTCCGCGTGCGGCGGCGGCGACGCTTCATCTGAGGAGGAGGAGGAGGAGGAAGGACCGCAGCGCTGTTTGTCGAGCCTCCTGTTCAAGTGTCGTCTTTATGCTTCAGTACACGGACGGACACCGCAGCCGTAAGGTCGAACGGACTCCATTCTGCCCGTTTTAGTCGGTTTTATCGGCGGTTCCTTCGCGAAACAACACCGCAGAACGAGCGCTGACCTGGATCGCACCTGCCGCGGAGCATTAACAACAAAGACTGATCCGGCGCTGCGCTTCACCCGAGCCAGTTTGCCTGCCGTCCCTCCGACGGATTCATCTACTTAAAAGCCCCTGGTGCACGTACGAGGCTGAAGCTGCAGGAGGAGGTTTGTGTGCACGGAATGTGGTGTTTGGACCTCCGTACTGCAGGCCGAACCTAACCGATCCGTGCAGGACAGGTTTAATTATAGCAGCGCTCTGCATGCGCGTCCTACTCGGACATCCAACACTAGGCGATATTTTAAGGGTCAAGAATCGTTCAGGAGAACATCAGGCCATTATTGGTGTTTTTTTCATTTTTTTATTGTTGTTGTTTTTTTTAAATGATCTAACAGTCCTTCCTGAACACAGTCACAGCAGTTTGACGGTCGCCGTCAGCAGCTGTCCGGTTTATTCAATGTTCCCGTAGAAACAAAAGCAGAATTATGTGGGTCAGTCCCGAAGATGTGCTGCTGGCAGGCGCGTTGTGGATCACCGAGAGAGCCAACCCATATTTCATCCTTCAGAAGAGGAAAGGCCACGGGGATGGAGGCGGAGGACTGGCGGGTGAGTCCCATCTCTGCAGCCGACTGTCATGATTCAAACACACTGAAAACACCAGTATTATGTTCTGATCCTTGGGCTAGTGGTGATGAAAGATAGATGTTGACTGCTTGGAGACAGTAGGAGAGACAGTGTGTGCTGGTGCTGGACATCAGAATACACATGGAAGGATAATGTGAGGGTCACATGACCAATCAGCTGTCAGGTGGCCTTTCACCTGAATGTGTGAGCTGGCAGAAGAGTTTACTAACTGATTTGTCCTCATCTTGTCAAACTTTGACCAAGTGTGCTGACAATCAAGCAAGCACATGTGAAAGGGCAAAGAGCTGCACCTATCCACCGTCTGAGAGCCACCTCATACACTGAGATATAAAATGAGTTTGAATACTCCTGCAGCATGTGAGGAAAATTACATTTCAGCCATTACAACAACACAAACTATTGCAGTTGTGGTTTGAGATGAGCAGCTGCTAATGGCTGTTGAGCCTCGACAACAGTGAATGTGTTTGACCACGAACCAGAAACCTGGTCTGTTTGCTTGCTCATGCTGAATCATTCCCCTTCTTCCTTCCCTCACTCCTCCTCCTCCGCCTGCTTTCTCTTGCTTATTCCTTCCAAAATGGGTCAAGCAGCAGCAGCAGCAGCAGCAGGAGATAACGGAACACGCTATTGAACTGACCGGCTAAGGTTCACAGTTTGACACCCTGTCCTGGTTCTCTCAGGATTGTGAAATTTCGGTTGCCCTGGACTCAGCAAGTAGATAAGACACAGCTGATCATCTTTAAGGCAATAAAGGAGTTTTTTTTAATATATTTTTTTGCAAATGAAGCAAATACATTTTATTGTTTCAGTTCTTATTATGTATATTTATATTTAGAAGCACTATGATGGCCTGGTTATCTTCCTGGGCCTGAAAAAATGCAGGTGTGCCCCTGTAACCACACATCTGCATTTTGTACAGTAATCCTTTGACAAATTATCAGATGGCCCCTAATTTGCGTGGGTAATTTGCTCCAATACAAACTAATTTGGAAATATGCTTCTTAAAGGATTTATATTAGCTTAAATATAAAATGTCTTGATGCTAAAACTACACGTCTAATAATCAGGTGATAAACCAGCATTGTGTATTGCCGCACAGTGAATCTGGGCCTTTGGGGAGCCTTGGTTGACTTTGATTCAGGACTGAACAGGAGGTGAGGTCTCTCTCAATGACTGGTCAGTGTCCTTTATCTCAGTTCCTGTTCCCTGCTGAGAATTTCTCACTTCATGTCACTCAGTGTCACTGCCAACTGAGCGTTAACACCAAAAACTGTGACAACAGTCAAATATTTGAGGACCAGTCGGCTTGAGAAGTGGGCGATACAGAGAATAGACTTTTCTCATAGCAGTGGCCTCATTTTCTCTCATGGTGATTTTTTAAATACTGTGTTAAAGTAGAGAGGTTTCCAGTTCTGCTTTGCATTGGAATACATAATACATACTGTCAGTCGCATATCTAGAGTTTAAGTACTAGGCAGTTCAGTTAAAAGATTGTTTTTCTGCACAGTGTCGCATAGTTTTGTTTATTATTTCTCCCGCCTGTATTTATCTGGAAACCATCTGGCCAACCACTAGTAACTTTTCTGAAAACACAATGGAGCAACCACTTATGGATAGAAAGGATGAGCAAGGAGAAATGTGTGTTTTTTTTTTTAGTGAATCCAGTAAATTAGATACAAATGAATGTACTTAATTACATTCATGCAAACATCTTGTAAATCCTTTATTACCATAAAACAACAGCAGCCTAATACCAGAGATATTAAAAAGGTTCCATGCTAAAGTGTTTTTAGCAAAATCCCTGATTGCAGTCAGACTTCTGTCATCTCACATCACCATCATATTTCCCAGCTGTAGTCTGATAAATAAAGGACAACAGTAAACATTAAGGGTTTGGTCAGTTCCTCACTCCTCATATTACAAAAACATGACACTGGTTACAAATTTAGAATATAATATTGGTAATATGACCTTCTTTTATATTAATAATTAGGCATGCAGCCTCTCCTCAGTCTCTGGTGAGTTCTGGCTGTGGCAACACAAAGCGTGCTAAGTGGTGCTGGGGGATGATGTCATTGTTATGTAAAAGCTGAGCTTGCTTACTTGCATTGTGTGCCAGTTGGCACTCAGCACCCAGTGGCACTGGCACGGCCCTCAAGCCGTTCTTCCACGAAAAAGGGAAGCCATCGACAGCACCAGGATGGAGCATTTTACCCAGCCAGATACAAATCGAAAGCATTTTCAACTTCACAGAGTTGGAGCACCAATGTCCAAGCTGGCACAAGGCCAATGAGTGTCGGTGGAAAACAGCGAATGTGTGTTTGCTTGATGAACTCATGCTCTTTCAGAAAACTGTAGCATCTTGTGGAGCTGCAGGTGGCAGCGTGGTGAAGTACGATGGCTGCTTAAGCAGTTGCAGAATTTATGCATTGTGTGCATGGCAACTGACAAATAATGAAAGGCGGGGAGTGTGTAGGATGTGATGTTCTGGTCATATGTGCATCCTTTGGACAAAATCTTCTCAATCTGACAAGTCAAGGCATCCTCTCCTGTAGCTGTAACTAAAGATAGACAAACCCTCCGTGGCTTCACCCATAGGTCATGTGCACTGTGGTTTTGAAGCTCGGTGTGGTGGCTCTGACTGTTGCTATCTTGGCAGCGCCAGACTCCTCCGAAAGACTGAGTCGTCCAAAAATGAGCAAAGAAGTGCAAACAGTCCCAGTCCATGGACATTACTAAGACAGCACCCATCTGTAATTCAAAGCGTCCACACCCTTAATTATGCATAACTTCATGCCTTATACAATTTAAATGGGTGAGTATGTTAAATTGCATTTACAGTTGTCATGAATGAGGAAACTGCCTATAGAGACCAAAACCTTTTTCTGTACTGCGCCATAGACATGTTTATTCTGCTGTGAAGTTGGATATTTTAACATAAGGGTCTATTGGAATTGACTTACTTTTGAAGCCAGCCTCAAGTGGCCTTTCAATGAACTGCAGTTTTTGGCACTTCTGCACTGGCCTAATTTTTAGCCCCAGGATGCTGCTTGATCCTCTCTCCAAACGGGCTCAGTTCCATATTTCACACAAAAATACACAACTAGGATCCTCCCAACACCTCAGTGGTGTCTAAATCTACTGTAGCTTTCCTTTAAAAAACCTATGTAGTTAAGAATATCGTGCAATGTGGTAAACAATTGTCAATGTTTCACCAGTCTAGGAATCTTCATGAGGTTGAAAGCAGGTCACAAGATGACTAACAAAAAAAGGATTAAGTTGAGGACCTATTGAGCTAAACAGTTCATACATGTGTTTTTAAATATATGTACATACACGTACTATTTGACCAAACAATGCTGCAAATAGCTTTTAATGACAACTTAGTGTATAATAATATAATTCTAATAGTGTTTACATCAACAGTATTGTGTCTGATATTGCAGAGGTACAGCTGCAGGAATTTATTTACACAAAGTCTTACATCTTAGTTTCCTGCATTTTCTAAATGTGTAAATGATTCATGTTCAGTACGGAAGTGTGAAATGAAAAATGCACAAACAAAACCTCTATTCATCAGGCTTAAAAGTAAACTCAAGATTCAGGCTATTGTGTTATTTGTTGCACAACTTTGCACAAAGATGCTTATAACCTAAAATTGCACAATAATTGGAGTCAGAGTACAGCACATAATCATAATCCAGCGGGTAATGTTTGCCTGCAGTTCAAAGTGTTGTGTATCAAACAGACATCTGTCCTTTGTAGGTTAAATCTGTTATCTGACGCAGTTGTGGTTTTTTAATCTGGGGGAGATTGTGGTCTTTTCAGGTCTCAGTGTAATCGCTGTAAACATCACACCGCAGCAACACCCATGCCCTAAAGCTGTGGGTTTCCTTTCTTTCTTTTTTTTTTTTTGAGAGCATAAACAATAGAAAACAAGTAGCTTGTTTTCCACACGCTGTCGATTTGCTTTCCTGTTCTTCCAGTAAGTGAAAACACTAATGTTTCAGAGAAGGTGATTTGTGTTGCCCCAACAATCGAGATCTCTGACTGTGTCCTTGTTTCAGTGCAGACAAGCACAAAGAATCACATGATTTTATAGCTTGTTCTGCTCAGAAGGCGTCTGCTCGCTTAAATGCGTTTTCCAGCCACACAGATGTAATAAACCGATAATGTACCATTACAGCTGCTTTGTTTCTGGGCTTGTGTTGTCTTTGTTTTGCACACCCACTCATTCGATGTGTGGACAGAAAATGTTACTGTAAAGGCAGAGGTGGAACAAGTCGTCACGTGGATTTGAGAAGTTCATGCTGCGGAGACTTCTGATGTTTAGGGTAGCGACAAACTTCAGCTTCAGAAGACAAGAAATAACTACTCGCTCATCTTTAGACATTGGCCAAGTTTTGCTAGAACTCTCAACTGAATATGCAACGATGTGAACAAACGCTGTCTGTTTGATGTTTCACTTTTAGCATTTGCACAAACGGAGGAACAGGTGATTTCACACACTTGGTGGTCTCACCTATGTTTCCTGCGTTAAACCTCGACTCGTGCTTCGCAGACTGAACCCTTTCACCTCCAAAGTGCAACTAAGATCCAAATGTGTTATCGTTCATTTAAGTTTCAACCACAAGCCTGCAAGAAACGGCGGTAGATTCTCACACTTCAGTATTTGACGCAGTTTTTTTTTTTAAAGGAAGCACCACCAGGGTAGTGGATCAAAGTCCTCTTTGAGGTCGACGTGCGAGTACCAGTTATGACTGTCTTTTGAACCTTGTGATGTTCTTTTGTCAAAGAGGAACTTGTCCTTCGTGTTATAACACTCATTTGTTTGCCTCAAAGGACCAAAATGTCACGCCGCATTATCCCCTTAGTTTCAGTGTGTTTAAGACTCCGGCTGATCGCCTCTTTATTGACTTCTTAAGCTCTGTGAATAAATCTGTTGTCTGTTTATTTGTGTACGCATGCTGGCTCTCGTGAAATTGTTCTGACACATGACCAGAAGGCATCAGTTACATTTTGTAACAGTCACCACTAAGTGTAACTACATAAGCAAAGAACTGTTAATTTTTTAGCAATTTCTGTCAGATCTACAAGGTATTTATTGAGGCCTGACTTCCTTTTACTGTTGTTTTTCTTGAGAGTTCAGTGGTACAAAGTGGCAAGAGGAACTAATAAAAAGGATTGTAAAAAGGAAGGAATTTACATGAGGAAAGAAACTAGAGAGGTTGGTGAGTCTGAGTCCCTTCTATTGTTTCTGTCTCTCCTCAGACTTTTTCTCCCCCTGACAATAAGAAAACAGTTCAGCTTGCCTCGCTTGTCTTGTCTCCTCTGTCTCCCCTCCTCCCTCCCATCCAGTGTCTGTGTGACTCATGCTGTGTTCGCGTTGACGAGCTGCAGAACAAAAATAACCTGCCTCTCATAGCAGTTGAACGTATACCCACCGCGAATCTGGGAGAATATTTCTTGCAACAACAACAGCTGCACAGATGCTTGAAAAATGTGTTTTTATCAGTAAGTTGGCAATTTTGCCTGCTGCATTTTTCTAAATTGCAAGTGATTGCGTTTCTACCTTTTAATTAGGAACACTTAGACTATTTATAAGCCTCTGCGGCCAAAATCTGGCTGGTGAGTCAAATCATTATCAAAGTAATATTGCCACTGAAGGCCTCCCTCGCTGTTAATAAGTCATTAATTCAGGATTCTTACGACAACCTGTTAAATCTGCAGTTGCAACTGTTAATGAGTTGTTGAAGGTGCCCTGTCATGTTTACATCCAAACACAATCCAGCATTTCTCACCAAAAGACACTGTGTGTATCCCTGAGGCCTAATTAACATAATGAGTGGATTTCTTTTACATTAAAGCATTAGCAGAGTTGAATTTATTAAAAATGTAAAACCTGCGTTGTTGACGTCTAAATTCACTCACTAGCTGTCTTCTTCTTTCTTGCCATTTCGGGGGAATTTCCACATTTCTTGACACATTGTTTCCACCTTTCCATTACTGGAATGATGTGAACCCTTTAGGAAGAATGTGTTTCATCACAACGTGTCATCTGCAAGCACGTCCACAAACAGAAGCTCATCAATACAATGCAGGATTCTGATGCACATGATGCACTTTTTTTGGGGCCAAATTTTCCATTGAAGTGGTCGACAGGATGGATTAAAGGAACACAAACGTTGTTTAGTTTTGCACAAAAAGGGGAGAGACAGATCAATAAAACAATGGTCAAAAGCAGAGTGGCGCAAATCAAGATATCCTGCCTTTTAGGTCGCATTATGGTCCACCCTCCAACCCGCCATGATTTATGAAGCAGCTTATGGTTTAAAAAAAACTCTGGTCTCTAAGCTCACATTGAGATAACTCTAGTGCTTATTTTCTCAGCTCCTCCAGATCCACAGAAGACACACAGCTGTTTTTAAGGTCTACCCCCTTTATAAAAGGGTCTTTCTCCTTTTAAAGGTCATTAAAAGTTAAAAAAAAAAAAGAAAAAGAAAAGAAACAAAGCTGGACGAGGATAAATACAAATCAAGGTTATTTCGTACTACCTGGCAAACAAATAGGTTCACACTAATGGAATACAACCAATCTATAAATTATTAACTGATTTTATAAACCGCTAATGAGACCATTAGTTAGAGTTCATGAATGCTTCATGTCGAATGACTCATTTAGAAAATGTGGTTGTTTGCAGTCATTTATCACAGTCCCTAATCAGAATAATGAAACCCAGAGGCTACAACGTGTAGATCACATGGTTAGCAAGTAAAACCAGGACATTTAATGTAGAGCAGAGATGTTGGAGCCAATGGATGTTTTTCATACTCTCAAATCTTAAAACACAGGACTCCATAGTTTCCCACTTTGCTTCAGCATAACACAATGGTATAAATGCATCAGTGCATTTCATTTGTAAAGCATGTCATGGTTGTTCATGGTTGTTACATGTCTGTTGGGACTTTTGTCTCACAGATGAACTAATTTATAGGTTCACTTGTGACATGAGTTACCATTAAAGAGCTTTTATTGTCTTTGGACAAACAAGTTTCTTTCTTCAGCATTTCTTAGAAAATTCTCTGAAGCGCAAAAGTTTATTTGTTGGTGATTATTCTGTCCTCAATAACAGTATTCTTGGCTCTTGCAGGTTTGCTTGTTGGGACCTTGGATGTCGTTCTGGACTCGAGCGCTCGGATGGCCCCATATAGGATCCTCTACCAGACTCCTGACTCTTTAGTTTACTGGATCATTGCTCATGGTATGTGCACCTTTAGCCCTGTGAGAAAATACACAAAAGTAAAGCAGGGACATCTTAGCAGGGATGGGGACCCCTTTGTAATTTTACCCCTGCTCATCCCTCCCCCAGCTTCAACGCAACACATGATGTTCTAACATCCTGCCTTTTCCCATGTCAGCTGCTGAATGCCAAGCATTACATCATGCCCCGGTGGTTTTTAAAGGAGCGGGTGCAGGAATCAACGTTTTTCATCTAATCACTCGATTCATTATGATTTTTGTGTCGTCAGCTCGTCTTCACAATAGCGTAATCTGCATGTTCTCCTCTCTGCAAACTTCCATTCACTCTTTGCCATTTTCAGGAGTGCGAGTGCTTCGTAGACAGTCTGCAGCAGTAAATCATGCAAATTAGCAGCAACACTCCAGATTGATTTGAAGCAGCACTCTTTTCTGCACCGTCATTTGTACTGTGCCATTAAATATGAAAAAATTCCAGCTACATGTTGAGTTGAACTAATCCCGAGGCAATTATTTTCATTATTGATTGATTGCAATTTCCTGAAACCCTCACTGATGTACTCAAACTGCTTGTTTTGTCTGACCGGTAAACCCCGAGTTGTTCAGCTTACACACACAGAAAACCAGCAAATTATCACAACTACGAGGTTAGAAGCAGTGAATCTGAGGCACATCTGTCTGGAAAAATACTCAGTTGAAATTATTGGTGACCAAAATGTAGCTGATTAGTATTTAAGAAATTGGTCAATAGACTAATTATTTCATTTCTACCATAACTATTTAGTGAAAGATAACTACAGAGGCATTCTGCACTGAGTCAGCCTGAAAATGGAGTACATATCTGCTTTAACTGCAAACTGAAAGGCAGAAAAATCTGAGGCACTTTGAGGACATAAATAAGCTTTAAAGCTGTTGTTGGAAACTTGCTTTTTATTATTTTTGGCTTTGTAGAGCACAAGTCTCCTCTGTGTTACAATTTTGATGTGAACTCCTGCACATTAACATTATGAATACACACAGAAGTGTCCGACAGTAGCTTTTGGCAAGCTTTCTGTGTGCTACCATTATTTGTGTACAGTCATTGTATATATTAAGGAATTGTCACAACTTTGGGAAATGCATTGAAGTTAATTAGAATGATGAAAAAGATAGTTAAGAATCAGACTTCTGTAATTAGCTGAAGTTTTGCATTTATTGACAAAGACAGTCTGTTTGTGTGTACGCATGTATTTCATTTAGCTTTCTACCAACATGCAAATATGGACAGTTTTCCCATTTGTGTTCTCTATCTGAAATGGAAGCCTACAAAAAGCTGGCTTGGCTTTGAAATGGCATTGGCTCCCCTCGCCTCGCCTCTTCTCCTCCTCCTCCTCCTCCTCCCCCCCTCCCAGTCCTTAATATCCTCCTCCCAGAGATAGCAGGAGAGTGGAGCAGTCTGGCAGACGTGGCTAATGCAGTCAGTGTGCACTCACTGAAGCAGTGTGGAGGGATAATGGTTCACAGTGGCGGCCATGACTGCAATCTATTTCTCCCGTGGCCCAAAAGATCCATGTTAATCTCACGCTGCTCAGTGATAACAAAACAGTTATTTTTAGTGTTGCTGTTTAGAAATGAAAGGGAGGATACACATTTAATTATCGTCTTTGTTGTTGTTGTTGTTGACTTGATACGTTTGCCCTCATTAACCTGTCCTCCATTTCCACATAAAATGCACTACATGCACTTTCTCAAAGCCCAATGTGATGTCTCTGAACTGTTTTTTCTCTAATGAGCCCTCTAACACCCCAATTTTGAATTTACTATCATAGATATAAAATACAAATATATTCTTATCTTTTAGACAGCAACAACTGCAGACTTTTCGACTGAAATGAAATGAAAAAATCATAAAATTATTACTGATAAATGTTCTGTCTACTAATAAATTAAGCAAATGATTGTTTTAGCTCTACTCTGCTTCTACAAATTAAGAGTTTATTGTAAATATTTGAGCATCTCTAAAACTTACACATATGGTTGCGACACTGTGCCACTATATTACCTCTGAAACATTACACCTTCACGCTCCTCCTGTTAACTTGCTGCCTCTGACTTCCCCGTCCTCCCACCTCTGCAGGAACCTCCCGTAAAGAGATCACAGAGCACTGGGAGTGGCTGGAACATAACCTGCTGCAGACTCTGTCCATCTTCGAGAATGAAAACGACATCACGACCTTTGTGAAAGGAAAGGTGCAGGTAAGAATGCTCGCTGTACAGTCAGAGCCTCAGTTTGGTGTTTGGATTTTATTTCCATAGAATTTCTATGAGAAATTTAGATGGAAATTTTGACTTTTGTATGTATTTGTTGGACTTTCAGAGTAAATAAAAAAGCACATAAAAAACGTTTACAGGTGGTGGATCAAAAATATATCAAAGGTTATAATGCTCATATGTCAACCAAATACTAAAATGTATTACATATCAACAAAATTCTCCTAAAATAAACTGTCAAACAACTGCCAACACTAGCTTACATATGCAAATGCAAAACAATAAGGGAAGCAAAAACTAATGTGCACATGAATTGGGACCAGTCCAGTTTTCTAAAACTTTCTTGTTTGAGCAGTATGCCTTCGCTGTTTGAGATTAAGGTGTGCCATAACATCCTCCAGCCAGCACTTATGAGATGGCAGCGCGGTCAGTAGTTCAGAGAAGGCTGCATCGGCAAATTGGATCTTTTAGTTCCCTACGAGCTCCCAGGAATGGCCTTCAGAGGATCAGGTTTCATTTGAGGGGTATTAAAAATCCACACACAATAGTCTCCTGACACAGACCTTAAACTATTCACCTGCTCCTGGAAAAAAAAAAAAAGTTTGGTGAAATTAACTGGCAAGATGGAGCCAGTGAAGTGCAGCAGCTCCTGTCCGACTCATAAAACAACGTGGAACTTGACATTTCAGCTCTTAACTATACAACATCAATCAGTTAAACCACTGCGGCTCTTCACTTTACAGTCACAGTTTTTCACGTTGCAGCTCATTACCTCTCTTGTCTCGTCTTTCTGCAGGGCATCATCGCAGAGTACAACAAGAACCACGATGTCAAAGAAGACGACGACACGGACAAGTTCAAGGAGGCCAGCGCTAAGTTTCGGAAGCTGTTTGGGATGCCGGAAGAGGAGAAGCTGGTCAACTATTACTCCTGCAGCTACTGGAAGGGGAAAGTGCCTCGACAGGGGTGGCTCTACCTCAGCATCAACCACCTCTGCTTCTATTCCTACTTACTGGGAAAAGAAGGTTGGATATTATCTCTTCACATTCTGAACACACACACACACACTTGTTTAGGGCGGTTACTTCTATTTTCTATTCATCTGCTGTTTATTTAGTCATTTAATCAATTGCTTGTGTGGTCTGTAAAATGTCAGATTATAGTGAAAAACCTGAATTTACTTGATCCCAATCTTCAAATGTGTGGTTTGTTCAACATACGGTTCCAGATCCCTCAAAATCCACTTTACAGTAATATAAAAGCAGAAAAAAAGGCAGCAAATCCTCACACTAGAGACTTGGGAAACAGAAAATTTTTGGCATGTTGGCTGGAAAAGAAACTGATTATCAAAATACATGCCGATTATTTTTCCACCAGTCCACAAATCCATCAATGTAACAAGTTTAACTCTATACGGTTTCATTAAGCACAATTCTGCTTATAATGATGTTTTTGCTTTCTTTCAATTTTGGTTTTGCTGATATTTAAAGCAAAATCAGTGTGCCGACACGGGCAGCACAATGTTTGTGCAGAAACTGGATTTTTCATAAATCCACCGAGTCACAGCTTATGTACTCTTACAGCTTTGTCTTGTGAGGCAGCTGGATTCTTGCTTGATTCATGAGGTCATGAGAGAATCCATCTTGACAGGCTTCAAGCTTTATGCTTAGGGCTGATTCACACAGTTATTCGGACCGCTCAGCATCCTGTAAGTAACCACCAGGCAGAATGGGCAAGTTTGAGGTGTGATAACAGAAGAAGTTTGCCCATGAAGACAGGTGGTTCATCTAATTACCTGCCTAGCATTTTGGGAAAATGCCTGCACTTTTTCAAACTGTTTCCAAGGATGTCTTTTCAGATCTGACATTATCTGATGTGTTAGGTTACCTCCTGCTCATATTGTGTAGTGTTTTATATGATAGCACTGAAATACAAATCCAGAAAATATGAAAAACAAAAAAGTTTCTGGAGTTTGTTTTGTCTTTAAGAACCTTCTTTTGCCTTGAAGTGAAAGTGCCTTTGTATCTCTCTGCTCGATCTTACCGCACTTCTGTGTTATCACGTGAACTGTCAAACCCTTTTCACGCTTCGGATTTTTGAGGTTGTTAGAGATTGTTATCTTTTGATGAAGGAAAAAAGTAGCAGCAGTCAAGTGAATTAGGTTGTCTACCCCCCACATGCTTTATTACTTTATCAAAGGGACCTTGATGTGAGGATTTCTGAAGAAGTCTTCTGAAGGCTATATTTATTTGAGATGTTATAGAGCAGTAAGCCATTACACCTGTCAGTACTACCTATCAAACTGCGCATCGTTGTAGTATTCTTTTTGTATTCGTCTCAAAGTGAAAACTTTCTGACATCTCAAACCTTCAGGGCTCCCATAGTCCACCGATTTGTCTTATCTCACAATAAATCTGTCTGTTTCTCTCTCACTGTTAGCCAAACTGGTGGTACGTTGGGCAGACATCACCCAGCTGGAGAAGAGCGCCACCCTCCTCCTGCCTGACGTGATCAAGGTGAGCACCCGCGCCAACGAGCACGTCTTCTCCGTCTTCCTCAACATCAATGAGACCTTCAAGCTGGCGGAGCAGCTGGCCAACATCGCCATGCGGCAGCTGCTCGACAACAAAGGCTTCGAGCAGGACCGCTCACTGCCCAAGCTCAAGAAGAAGTCGCCCAAGAAGGTGTCGGCGCTCAAGAGGTAGGAGCCGGTGCCAAGTGGAAACACTTATCTGCTCATTAATAATAAATCCCGCTTTTACATGTTTACGGCGTGTGGTCGATTGAACATTAATGTGTCGGCAGCGAGGTCGATCATCTAAAGTTACCAACAACATGTAACATGTATGAGCACAGTGGTGCAAGTTTTGGTTTCACAGTTTAACTGCAGGAGAGCAACAACTGTGTGTTATAAGACACAACGGTGCAGTGAATTTAAATTCTAGTAGGTCTCTGTGAGCCCTTAAAATGGCCTCAGTTATGTTTGTTCAGTACAATTTATATAAGATGTGCTGCACGTCCGTGGCTGTATGACGGTTTGCATAACACTTTACTATATCTACACAGATAGTCCACTGGATAGATTAACTCATTCATCCAGACTGTGAATAAAACTACTCTGCTATATCTAAATGTTCATGTAAAAGTCTATTATCTAACATGAGAGTTTTGCATCTTTTAGAGATCTGGACGCAAGAGCAAAGAGCGAGCGTTACCGTGCGCTTTTCCGTCTGCCCAAAGATGAAAAACTGGATGGACACACAGACTGCACTCTGTGGACTCCCTTCAACAAGATGCACATCCTGGGACAGATGTTTGTTTCCACTAACTACATCTGCTTCACCAGCAAGGAAGAGACGCTATGCAGCCTCATCATCCCCCTACGTGAGGTGAGGAGTCTGTTTATTAGCAGCATGCAAAGCTGTATGGTTTGCAAATAAATGAAACAAGTGGGAGCTCAAGTAAATCATATGTGAATATGCTGGATTGTGTTTGATTATGCAGATAAGAGAGGGGTTGTCACTGCCCATCTGCTTTGGAAAGATGCATACACAGTGTACGAAATTCAGCTGTCGTGCTGAATCACAGTTCATCCGTTTCGTTTAGTTGCGCCAGCTATTTATACACCCAGTACTGAGTTTGTGTATAAAGTCCTCAGTAAGTTCAAGTATCTACTGGATAGTTTCAAACATGTGCTTTACCAAATCATGTGGTTGCACCATTTATGAAGCGTCTTTAGCTAGTTAAGACTTCACGAAATTGGTTGCTAGGTAACACCAGCAGCACCTTCCAATCATAAGCAAACATGTGAACAGCAAGTAACTGCAGCATCACAAGCTGTAATATGACTCGGAAAAATAAATCGAACGGGGTAAAATAACATACTTCTAGCGACTAAAATAACGTATATCCTGTGTTAATTTGAGGTTAAATTTGTGTTTTTCATAAATGTATGTGGAGAAATTAATGCAGTTTTCAAATATGAGGAAATTGATTTCCATTTAATAAACACTTCGATGACAGACGCTTCACACATTTGGTTTCCATGATGCTTGTCATGTTATTACGCTCACATTGTGAATGTTTTCTGTCGTCCTGCAGGTGACAATCGTGGAGAAGGCTGACAGCTCCAACGTGCTGCCCAGTCCGCTCTCCATCAGCACTAAGAACCGCATGACCTTTTTGTTTGCGAACCTGAAAGACAGAGACTTTCTGGTGCAGAGGATCTCCGACTTCCTGCAGCAAACCACCTCCAAAATCTACCTGGAGAGGGAACTGAACGGCAGCCTCAACAGCTCAGACGATGAGGTAAGAGTTGCTCAAACTGTTTTTCATCTACAGATATAAAAATGTGTTATTATGTAGAGAGTTTGCTCCCCCACCAACATGTGCTGCCCTAAACATCTCATTTACGGTACCTGTATAGAAAACAGTGAATTGTCTTTTAAAGCCTGATTGTGCCGTGTCTCCAGGTTTACTCCCAGCATGGATCTCTGCTCTCCAGCAGTCCGCAGCACAGTTTGGGTTCAGAAAGCGAGCGTACGTTCAACCTGAACGACAGCAGCGTGCCCACAGCCACACAAGCCCTCATGACCATGTACCGCCGCCGCTCACCTGAGGAGTTTAATCCCAAACTGGTGAGTTAAATAACACACTGTCAAATACAATGAAAAGCATTTTATCTTGTCAAGCGTGCAATGGCCACATAGTAATACCTACTAATGCAGTCATCTATCTGTCTGTTTGCATTGAAGGGTATTAGCAATCGTGGATTGTCACGTCTATTATTGGCATTTTCATAGTATTACTGTGCATGGAAAATGAAAATGCATGCAAGATTGCCACCAGCTGCATGTAATTGTTTTCCCTCTTTGCACAGGCGAAGGAGTTCCTGAAGGAGCAGGCGTGGAAGAACCACTTCACCGAGTACGGACAGGGAGTGTGCATGTACCGCACGGAGAAGACCAAGGAGCTCGTTCTCAAGGGCATTCCCGAGGGCATGAGAGGAGAGCTGTGGCTGCTTTTCTCTGGTGAGACCTGCAATACACACAATTGCAACACACAAATCATTACAGGTTGCCTGAGAGACCACACCCTGCATACTACGTGCTCAACATAACATCACATGATAAATATTTAATGTAGGTGTAGTTAATCCACCTCACCCTGTTCGACAAACACACAAGATAAGGCTTTCAGTAGCCACTGTGACACATAAACATGCAGAAATAAAGCTTGTTTTGTTTCTGTCTTTTACTCTGAGGTAAATATTTAGTGACAAATATGGTTGTGTAGCTTAAACTATTCTTGTCTCGAAGGCCTGCAAACACATGATAAAAATGCATTATATTTATGCATCTTTATTAATAGCACAATATTCCACAGATGGTTTAGAGTGAAATTGTTTTACATTATCAGAGTCTGCATCGTACTTACATCCCTTTCATGTGCAAACCTCCATTTAAAATGCACAAAAGCATTTGCATGATCACCCTTTTCAAAGCAGCTGACGGTAGAATGGTTTAATGAGCTGAGATGAAAGTCCAAGAAAACGATTACTTTATAAGTTAAATCTGGAATATTATCACACTGAATTCCAGATGTTAATATACAGCATCCAAATATACTTTCAAGAGCAGATAGTGATGAATTTGCATGTCAGGAGCAACTGAAATTACATGGACACCTACTGTATGAGCAGTTATTTTCAGTCAAGGGTGCAACTAACCCTAACATTAGTGAATTACACATAATGTCTATTTTAAGTTGACTGATTCTGATGTACTCAATAATGCTGCTCTTTCTCGTAAAGTACTCAGCTGGCCACACATTTGCATTAATTCAGTTGAAGTGTATTAATGTCCAGAGGTAATATGGTTTGGAGATTTGATTAGACCACATTGCTCTTACTTGAAGCAGTATGTAACAACTGGTATATTCTTTTTATCTGAACTCAAAATTATACGGAGGTCTGTGACTTTCACTCTGTCACAACATGACCCATATTTAGAGGTATGCTCGCAAGACTTCACAAGCTCAGTCATGTGTTGCACCGCAGCAGCAGCTTGTAGTCGTCTTCACCTGAGCAGATGTGGGTCACGACCAACCCCCTTTGTCACTCCTGTGTGACCTACTTGTGGCTCAAGCTGCTTGTTGTCATCGCTGCATTGTTTCCACCGCAGTCACGTTCGCCTGCATCTCCTCAAATTAGTTTCCTTTACACTAGTCTCCCTTGAGAAAAAAAACATTTACCATGCTTTATTAAAACAATCAATTGCTGCCAAATTTGTGTCTCATTTTAGAACAAAGGGTGTTGAAACCAGTTTGGTGAGAATTTGTACTGTGGCAAGCTTCCAGTAAACACGTTTACTGAAGCATGTGCTGAACTGTCTCATCTGCACTGTTCGTATCTATGAATGTTTCATGTTTTTAAATATCTAATAACTGTTAAAAACTAAGGGGCTCAACGTACAGAAGAAAACTTGTCCAAAGCATTAAATTACCACTTTTCAAGATTTGGTTCTATGTTCTCTTAAGAAATGCAAAAGGAATTGAAGCATTTTGTTCTAAAACATGAAAGACAGAGAAGCTACTGTATCACATCTGAGTTTAGATGCCATGATGGTTATGTAATCTGTTAAAATATTGTAATTATTACCTTTTAATTGTAGTTTCTTCATGCCACACTTATTATGGTAGTAAATTTGTATTCTGTTTTGTGTTTTTTTTTTAAAGTTAGTCAACCATGCATCCTCAGCCACTTTAATTCCCATTAAAATTCAGTTAATGATTTCAATATTTAATGACACTTTAGTGTGTAGTCGACCACATCACAGACTGTAACCACAGATTTTGCTCATTTTTGAGATTTACTTACAATCTGCGTTCAACCTTTAACCTTTAAACTGTTTTCTGTAGGGGCGATCAACGAGATGGCCACTCACCCTGGATACTATGAGGACCTGGTGGAGAAATCGATGGGCAAATACAACCTGGCAACGGAGGAGATCGAGAGAGACCTGCACCGCTCTCTCCCCGAGCACCCGGCCTTTCAGAATGAGATGGGCATCGCTGCCCTCCGCAGGGTCCTCACGGCCTACGCATTCAGAAATCCCAACATCGGATACTGTCAGGTGCGCGTGCTGTTGTTTTCATTCCCACATGAAGTGGAAGAAACCTGGCAGTCCTTGACAATACTTGATCTTTTTGATCCTCTCTGTGTTGATTCCACAGGCCATGAACATTGTGACATCGGTGTTGCTGCTTTACGCCAAAGAAGAGGAGGCTTTCTGGCTGCTTGTGGCGCTCTGTGAGAGGATGCTGCCGGACTACTACAACACCAGAGTTGTAGGTCAGTATCTGCTTTTGGCGTTGATAGTGTTTGATTGGTGTTTTCTGCTTCTCTGACATAATCCTCTCGTTCTCCCCCAGGAGCTCTAGTCGACCAGGGCGTGTTCGAGGAGCTCGCCCGCGAGTACGTTCCCCAGCTGTACGACTGCATGCAGGACCTGGGAGTCATCTCCACCATTTCTCTCTCCTGGTTCCTCACCCTCTTCCTGTCCGTCATGCCGTTCGAGAGCGCCGTGGTGGTGGTGGACTGTTTCTTCTACGACGGCATCAAGGTCATCTTTCAGCTGGCGCTCTCAGTGCTGCACGCCAACATCCACCAGCTGCTGGGCTGCAAGGATGACGGGGAGGCCATGACCGTCCTGGGCAGGTAGGGAGGGGTTAAAGACATTATGGCTCATCTTTTAGTGGTTTTTACTGTAGTGTTAAGTCATTTTTTTTCTCATCATTCTTAGTTTTATTAACTCTCCTCACATCCCTGCCAGACATCTTGACCATTTTGGCACCACATGTTGTATATTGCAGGTACTTGGACAGTGTGACCAATAAGGACAGCACCCTCCCTCCCATCCCTCACCTGCACTCCTTACTGACTGATAACGGAGAACCACATCCAGAGGTTGACATCTTCAAACTTGTCCGCAGCTCTTATGAGGTATTAAACCTGGATTATAATCAGGTTTTGGTTCTATGGAAAATAAATAATCTGAATTTTATATGTGACTCTTTTAAATCATATGGTTTGTCTCCAGTTTATCTGCCGTTTTATCATCAGTCTCTTGTGCTTGTTTCTGTGTTAGCGATAGAGCTGTGTGTTCTCAGTTTGAATGATTCCTACTTAAATGTAATTTAAATGTCACTGAGATGCCCAGCTGTCTCCTCGCTATCATGCAGTTATCTCCAGTCGTCTTTGATGTTTCCACTATAATAACGGAGCACTGCCACAGCCGAGTTGACCTACATTTCTCAGTGTTTGTCCCTTTTTTTTCTTTTGTGCTAGAAATTTGGCTCCATTCGTGCGGATGTGATTGAACAGATGCGTTTCAAACAGAGGCTGAGGGTCATCCAAACCATCGAAGATACGACTAAACGCAATGTGGTAAGGACTTAATCTTGCAAATACTGAATTTAATCAAACTGTTAATGGCATGCAAATAGTCGGTTGTTACTAGAATGTTGCTGTTGTTGCAACTCTGTTGTGCAAATAGCAGAACAGTACACAGGCAACTTGCCAACCTCAGAAGTCTCTTATCTGTGCAAGTCAAAGAAGATTTGATCTTGAGTCATTATTAGACTGTCTGCTCCACATTCACACTTTACATTACTCAGTCTCTTCTATTTTTACTTAATGCTGTTATATAATGTTTCAGGTCAGAACTATTGTAACAGAGACTGCCTTCAGCATTGACGAGTTGGAGGAGCTCTATGTGCTCTTCAAGGTGAGTTACAAGTCAGACAATAAATATTTCCAAAAATCTACTGAAATGTTTGAATGTCTTAAGCTGTGCCAGGAATCTTGGCATTTTCTGCTTTAGCGATGAGCTGTTTTTGTGTCACAGGCCTGTATTAACAACTGGTAGAGATTAATTTGCTAATTAATCGATGGCATAATGTTAGGAATGATTTTTTCAAAAGTTTAAATATTTTTTACTTTCAAAGTCTCTGATGTACTTTGCAAACAAAACAAAAATAGATATGTTAATGGTTTTTGCTTATTTGGCAAGTTGCATCCATCTTTTTGTTCAGATTTTGTACAGGACTCTATGTAATATCCATTTTTTTCAACACATTGAAGAATCTGTGCATTTTCAGTATTTTCAGCACATGGAGGGATCTGCAATACTGAAGCTGTTCTATTTATAGAATAACAATGTGCAATATCGTTATTTCCACATTCAGAGGAATTTGTGCAATATTTAGATTTTTTTTCGTAGAAGAATCTTGACAATATCAACAGTACTTGTATTTCTTGTTTATTTTTTGTACTTTTACTACAGTTTTGCACTTTTCCCTTTGCTGCTGTAACACTTCAAACTTCTCAGCTGTGAAATTATTACAAGAATATCTTATCTTAAGCTCAGCAAAAAGCAGTTCTGTCCTTGTGTTTGCTACAGTTCTGTTTAACATTTACATTTACATTTAAATGGTCCTTTCCTCAGGCGGAGCACCTGACCAGCTGCTACTGGGGCGGCAGCAGCAACCCCACCGAGCGCCATGACCCCAGCCTGCCGTACCTGGAGCAGTACCGCATCGACGTGGAGCAGTTCAAGGGCCTGTTCAACCTGCTGTTCCCCTGGGCCAACGGAGCCCACTCTGACCCCCTGGCTGTGCGCTTCTTCCGTCTCCTTGACCAAAACGGAGATGCCCTCATCAACTTCCGCGAATTTATCAACGGCCTGGGTTAGTATGGAGAGCCTGTGGTGTGTGTGTCCTTGTAAATATTCTGTAGTGTTCGGTTAATGGTCTGTGACGTAACAACCCTCAGTTGACAAATGGATGTTTAACGCAGTGTTGGTTCCAAATTAAGATGATCTATTACATGGAGGTACTTAATGTGTCTGATGTGTTGTAGGTGTTCTGTGTCACGGGGATCTCACCGAGAAACTCAAGCTCCTCTACAAGATGCACGTCTTACCTGGTGAGTGCATGTGGCTGCACTTCAGTGATCTTGGAAAGTCGTCTTCCTGAGAACTACAGAAAATATTTCATTTCAGTAGAGCAGATTTATTAGCTGTACAGAAAATGTTCAGCTTTATGCTTGTTGTCTCACTTCACTGGCTAAATCATTTTCTGAGGATTTCCTTTATGAGACCCGCTTTTGACATAAATCAGAACCTGAAAATGCTATTCACTGTATTATAATTCAAGCTCTCAGCTTCATGCAAACTCAGGTCTGACTTTGCATAACATTTTAACAATTGAATAAGCCCATTGTCACAGCATTACAGCAGTCAGTATTAGAGGAAGAGTTGCTTTTACAAGGCTTTCATGGACTGATCCCAAAAATATTAAGCAGGCAATTCATCAAAGGTAACTTTATGGTTACATTATTATGCAGTTCAATTTTAAAATGCTGGATACAAATGATGAATAACATGGCAAAGAATGGCTGACACAGTGTTTTCACAAGCCAAATTAAATTTGGACTCTTTGAATTCTTTTCAACAGAGTTCACTCATGAACAAGAAGAACCAGATTCTGCCTTTGAAGCCACTCAGTACTTCTTTGAAGACATCACTCCAGAAACATCCATCGGTGAGATTAATTATGTGTTGTGTTTACTACCATATCTACACTGCTCACACTGCAGGGAGAGTAAGATGATATAACAACACATTTATTAATATATCAGCATTAGTTTAAAACACACGTTCCTGCACTGTAAATATAGATATAATATATTTTTTCCACTGTCCTTTCCAAAATGGTGACATTTTGCCGCCTCCTTGTACACCATCCTGTACTGCTTTAGACAAACTGAAAAACATCTGGGAGAAAAATTAACTTGGGTAATAAAAACCAATATAACTTTATATTTAGCCCAATTCAAGCAAAGTCAAGACACTTTAAATGCTTTGATGTGCAGTTTATAGAAAATGTATTGTGCTTAATTTGACTTGCAGCAGCAAACACTTGATGCCATTTAATGACACATAGCTGTTAGTGAGAATTAAATTCATTTCTTCTCACTGACTATTACAAATCACACAACGCAGCTACAATGTGCTTATGAAAATGTTTTCCTTATTACAAAGCATTGGGACTCCATCTTTTTTTCTTTTTTTTTAACTTTATATTGCAAAATGCCAGACATCCTGTCATTTGTTTTGCCGTAACATAGGATTGTTATCATTGTATTTGCAATGAATGCAATCTGTGTTTTGGTAGCATTAACCTTGAAATCACATGAAGCCATTACTGTTCATACCAATAAAATTACACAATACAATCGTAGGCACAATAACAAGTGTGTGCACATTTTAAGTGTAGAATTACTTGTGAACTACTGCAATTACTGTTGATAAAGTTTGATATCAAAAACATTGTGCTAGCTTTCCTTTGCTTACATATGGAGGCACTGATGATGGAGAAATACACTATATTAGGAAGTAAATACTATATATATATATATACATACACACACACAGTAATATATATATATATACACCACCGTCTATACAGTGTGGAGCTGGATGTCCAGTCTACCTACAGAAAGCTGATAATCACATCTTTTTACCATAACATTTGAATTTTTAACTGAACAAATGTTAATGTTTGACCTGGATCACCTTCTTTTCCTCTCAGGCCATGACTCTAAGTGCCGGAGTGAGAAGGACGATGGTTTTGTCAGAGTTACATTCAAAACTGAGAAAGGTAAGCAACACAGTCACATCTATGACAAGAAATCTGATTTTAAAAATGTAATGCAACATGCTTTATTGACATTTAGTCTTGATTAGCATCCAATAACCAATCTTTACCTGCTCCTGTTTTCTTTACACCAAATTTTGATGATCGGAAATATTATCTTCATAGACTGCAAATGAACAGTAGTGATTGTATATCTAATGAGAAATATCCTAATTTCCAGTGGATGCCTGAAACAACATGCTTATATTTTGATTGTGATATTAGCAATAAGCTTCTTTTGCAAAACACTGCTGTCAAGTAAGATTTCTGTTACAATGAAAAAGAGACTAAAAGTGTGGCACTCTAAGAACTAGAAAAACTCTGAAACAGCATTTATGTCTTCAATTTTATGGTGTTTTTACCCACAACTGAATTTGTCTTTGTAACTGAAACACTCCATTTTATTTTTTTTGCAGTGAAGAAACAGAACAATCCTGATTATCGCCATTACTTGAAACTGTGGAACCAGGAGACGAAACCTAAACGAGAAAACACAAAAGACCTCCCAAAGCTCAATCAGGTAAGACCTGATCTGCAGCACGGATTTGTGTAACCAGTAGAAGCACAACCATCAGTGACCCCTTTTAATGTTTCTGTCCTGCAGAGCCAGTTCATCGAGCTTTGCAAGACCCTCTACAGCATGTTCAGCGAGGATGTTGCAGAACAGGAGCTCTACCACGCTACAGCGACTGTCACCAGCCTGCTGCTGGAAATGGGAGAAGTGGGAAAGCTCTTCTCCTCCTCTATCAGGAAGGACCACAACCTGGAGGGCAGATCAGAGCCTAGCATGTGTATGAGAGACGTCTCAGATCCCAAAATCAGCCAGGAGCCTGAGGATCTGGGAGACGTTTTTGGCCCTGCAGATCTGGAAGACAAGTCGAGCCCCTGCGAGGAGGGAAAAGGGGATGAAGCAAGCGAGCAGCTGCCACCGATGCAAGACATCAAGCTGGAGGACTCGTCTCCTAAGGACACGGGCACATCGTCTGCCATGCTCATCTCGGATGACGAAACCAAAGATGACACGTCAATGTCATCTTACTCGGTGCTCAGCGCCGGCTCCCATGAGCTGGATGAGAAGCTGCAGTGTGAGGACATTGCAGACGACACAGTGCTGGTGCGCAGCGACAGCGGCTCCAACGGCGGAGGAGGCGGCCGACCTCACGGCAGCGGGCCTCACGACAGAGGGCTGCCTCACAGCACCAGCATTGACAAAGACTGGGCCATTACGTTCGAGCAGTTCCTGGCCTCCGTCCTCACTGAGCAGGCTCTGGTGCATTACTTCGAGAAGCCAGTGGAGGTGGCAGCTCGTATAACTAACGCCAAGAATGTGCGTAAAGTTGGGCGCCCCCTGCTGTCAACAAGTGACTATGAGATCTCGCTGTCTGGGTGAGGTCTCCGAGCAGGTTTCACTGGAGGACTTGTGCTGTTCTAAAAAGGAAAATGTGATTATCAGTCAGTGGTGTTTTTGAGGAGAGTAAAGGTAAATGTAAGATGTGAGTGTATGATAGTTGAGTGAATGTGACCAAAACTGCTCTTGGCAATGTATTTTACCAGAAATTAAAGACTTTTACTGTAACAATCACTAGATTCTGTCCATCTAGGAGGGAACAGGACATTAATATTATGGTTTGCTCAGAAGAAATCAGCGTGTCCATGTAGTAGCTGTACTTTATAAGACATTATGCATAGGTGTTAATATTGTAATCTCTAGTACTCTTATGCTATATGTAGATGTAAATGTCCACAGATACTGTACAGCTCCAAACTGGGATATTGAGTCTACAGTACGTACAATACGTACGATCACCTAACTTCATATCAGGTCAAACTGTTGCTTCGTTACTTTACAGTTTCATTCGCTGCTAATCAAGACTTTTTGTTTTTGTTGCGAATTGGATGAAAATATGGAAGAATACAAAACAAAGCTGTGAAAATTCAATGGTAGAGTGAATTTTCACGTGTTATTGTGTAAACTCTCTTCAGCTCCACTTTGGCAAATCAAATACTGTCTTTTTCACGCACAAACCTGTGACCTCCTGGATATTCACCCAAAAAATAAATAATGTTCCCTCTAATTATAAAATAGTCCAGTTTATGATCTCCAGTCATGATTAATAGTTGCAAACAACTTGTACAATAACAATAGGAGGAAAAGAAAAAAATGATACAATCACAGTTTCCTTGACTGAGAAGAAAAACCTTCAGACAAAAAAGATTTTGAACGTTCCTTAAATGAAGATGGTTACACTAAAATGCTGTAAGAAGGTGCACTTTCTTTGTTTACAACATAATGTGATCCACTAATATGTGTTTGCTTGCCTTTTGCCTAGCTACTGTTGTCTGCACTCCAAACTTCAAATGCTTCTGTTTTTGTTTTGTTTTTTAATGTTTTTATCTTTTTGCTCTTTACATTTTTATGTTGCTTTTTTTTTTTTTTTTTTTTTTAAGTTGTTCTCACGTGAATACTGTAAAAAATCCAGGTGTTATTACTCTGGATCCTGATGCATTGTGTATCACTCCATCTAATTAAAATTACAGTATGATTGATTCAATGCTGCACAGTAAAACGCCTCCAGCCTTGTTTTTCATTGACTTCATCAAAGCCTTTATGACGGAGAACACTGAGTCTTGCTGCCATCTGCTGGCAGATTGTTCAGCTCCACCAACCTCTCTCCCAAAGACACGCATTTTAGCCACATGAGATGTAGTTTGATGATACAAAACATAATTTGACTTATAATAATAAAAATTTCAACCTCAACTTTCTGTCTCACAGGCACATTTATATATATATATATATGCTGCAGCAAGTAGGGGTCCTCGGACCCTAATAATAATAATCACAACGGTTACAATAGGGTCCTTGCACTGGTGTGCTCGGACC